CTGCTGCAGTCCAGCTAGAGGAATGATGGACAGAACACAGAGATAGTGAAGATAGTACCAAGCTAAGCGGCAAAGGAGCCAAGGACCTGAGGCCACTACACACACAGGGGAGCAGGTCTGGGTCCAGCCATCAAATAGACATACAAAGCAATGGCAAAAGGCAACAATCTAAGCTGCAGTGGGGCACAGGCCAGGTGAGGCAGCTACAGACTCAGGACGGTGTTAGAGACATAACTGAAGAAAACCGCAGAGTCATAGCAGGCAGCTGACACACTCAGAGAGATGGGGCCAAGGTCAGGACCCAGGAAGACATAGCAAAAGCCTCAGCCATCAGATGTCCTGGTGTAGGACTGTCAGAAGAAAAAAGGTCTATGAACTACAGGATGCCACCCAACAGAATGAAGGCAGCAATAGGATGGAAGCAAGTCCTCCACCACCACCAACACAAACAAGAAATAGGAGACTGTTTCAAAGACATGCACACTTGAAGGAATATGAGGCCAATAGGCTGCAATAGGCTGGTGGTAAAGGCCATGTCCCTATAGCGGGCTTTGTACTAGTAATCTCCAGTCCCAGCATGTCAGCAAATGCTAGCACAAAAAAGTACAACAGCAAAAAATGGTAAAAGGAGAGATACAGTAATATACATGGAACTTGTAGGGAGGAGCACAGGTTGCAGGAAAAAAGAATTTGGAGGCAGGAAGTCAGTCTGTGTGCACAAGGCTAGAATGCTAGCTATAGTTGCAGCATCTCTGTCAATAGTTCTTCTGATAAAAGAGCCAGCTTAATTTTACAAGCATGGAGTCCTTTCATGCAGGACCACCCTAGAGCAAATGGTACTCCCTCCCATTTGTTAAACTTCTGAATACCTTATTTTTATGCCATTTGTAGCCCACTTCATGACTTTGATGAACGATTTGAATGCATGATTTATCTCTGTCGTATAAGATGATAAATTTGCATGCTAGCCTCTGTAAATAGGTATTTATTCATGTATTCATTTATAAGCAAATTTAAAAAATTGTTTCCGCTAAGCTTATAGAAACTTTTTAATTTGAAGAATAACTGAAATGTTGTAACATCAAGAAATTGAACTCTGCACCAACATTGGGTGGACCAGTATTAAACAGTGTTACCGTAGGTGACAGCCTTAGACTGTTAACCCTAGTCCTGTAGTTCAAAAGGTCGCTTTTCTTGCCTTTTCCCTCACAAACCAAAGCACAGCGTCAGAGATCCAAAGACTGGCCAATGGCATTTTCAAGTGATAAAATAGAAAGCGATGTCGGTCTCTTGTTTGCCATTGTCGATCGAAGATACATTCTAATGAGCCTGAACTTCGAAAAGCTGTGCTCACCAATCGTGACTGTGAACAGCAGCGTGAGCAGATTCATCAAAGCTACCCACACATTAGGAAAAGTCTCCTTCAGCTCTTCATCAGGAACGAATTGGAGAACTTGGAGTGGAGACTGCTTCCTGTGTGGCAAAATATGACTGATTTTGTCCAATTTGACATAGAGGTCTTTGATGTCCGAACACTCACCATGTGTCAGTGTCTCATATACTGGCAAGGGCATGGCTGACAACATTCCAGAAGATTGGAGGAAAATGTAGTTCTCAGAAAGTCAGGAAGGTTCCACAAGATTCTACAAAGGTCCAGAACATTCTAGGAGGATGGGGTGAAACGAATACGTAATACCTGTAACGTTACTTCAAACATTCTATTTTCATTTTTGTTGCTAACAACAAAAACAACACCCCAAGCCCAGCACCCCCTGGCCCCTAAATCCAGCCCTGCTTTCATATTTTCACCTAGCACATGGTACATGAAATATGCAGCATGATGGCAAAGGGAATTTCATGTTGACAAATGCTAAAAAATGCACACTGAAAGAAGTAATTTGAAATACTTGTGCACTTTGCTGGATTCTAGATTAAATGTCACCTCTCAAACAAAAAGACCTGGAAATCATTATAGACAGTTAAATGAAACCCTCTGCTCAGCGAGCAGCAGCAGTTAAAAATATCAAACAAAATGTTAAAGTGTATAAAAACAGGATAGAAAATCATATGGAAAATATTCTAATTTCATGATATAAATGAATGGTACACCCTAATCTGAAATACAGCAATCTGCCTACCTACTTCACTCTCAGGATATACCAGGAATAGAGGGGTTCAGAGGCGGACAACAAAAATGTGTACTGGTAGAGAGACACTTCCTTATAGAAAAAGATTGAATAGATTGTAACTTGTATAATTTATATACTAGATGAATAAGAGATGACATGATCCAGGCATGTGAAATAATGAATTGCATAAAGAAGGTAAATCAGTGCTGCTGTTTATGCTCGCTCTTCATACAAGAACAAGAGGACATTCAATGAAACTGAGGGGGCAGCTAATTTAAATGGATACAAGGTAATACTCTTTTTCTTTTTAAAACACCCAGTGTATAATTAGCCCATGGAATTGTGACAAAGTGGGATGTTCTTAATGTTTTCTCTAAATACTATGTGTGCGCCTCAGTTTCCCCTATGTGTTGCACAAGTATCTAGGTGGTGAGGTAAGGCTGTGTGACAATTGCAGAGACTCCTAGGGGCAGGTGTGACTGCTGACTGGCTGCCTGGACACAGAGAATGGCTGACACTCTGTATGCTGGCAGCTGATGGCCAGAGCCCGTCCTCTGCAAGGAGCCAGCCAGCCAGCCAGCCAAAAGTATTGGAGAACAAAGAGGGGGGAGAACAGGTGACCGGTTTTCCTGGGAAAGAGACAAAGCATGTAGGAGGGGCAGCTGGGCGTTACTGAGGCTGGGTGGTTAGAAGCAAGTCAGTCTCCTGGTTTGGGATTCGGGGCCGGGGGAGCCCTGGGCTCTGGATCTCCCCAAGATGGATTTTGCTGAATGTTCCTAATTTCTGTGCTAACAAGGTCTGTTCTACACTGTGTTCCTGACAACTACTAAACCCGTCTGTTTGCCAAGCTGGCGAAGAGTCACCGCTAACTGCAGAGGTGGGGTGCAGGGCCCCTTTCGGGGAGTGTGTAAGGCTTCCCCAGGTGTCCCATCCCAGTGGACTCACTGCAGGGAGCTCATGGTGCAAACAGGGGTGCTAAATGCTCAGAGGTCAGACCCAGGAGGTGCTGGAGCCAAGGCAGCTTGCCCTGGTGAGTGTGCCCTGCAGGGGGAGAGACTACCCTAGAGTCCTGCCTGACTTCATTCAGAGAGTTCTAGAGCACTGAGCCTGTGACTCCATGACAGCAACTCACTGCTCCAAGATCTCTTTGAGTCTAAGATCTTAGTAGGCTTCAGGGACAGACTAGGCATTTGTCTAGATGTTAAGATCAGCCATGGTTACATAAGGCTTCATATATTTTTCAGAAGAAATACTAAACCCTCAGACCAACCACTAATTGATGAGGGTAATGAAGAAACTTCCCCATCAGCAGGTTATTCCAGAATTGCTCACTAAGGGGTTTCTTGCATGTGCTTCTGAACCATTTGCTAATGGAAATTGCCAGTGATAGGATCCTGGATGGGCTGGACCATTGTTCTGCACAATTCCAATGTTTCTTCACGTTCTATATCTCTGCCTCCTTCCTTTTCCCTTGAGTCAAACAAGCCCACTGCTATCTAGCTAGTCCTTCCTGCTTTCCTGCCCATTCCACTGAGTCCCAAAATTGTCTGACACCTTCAAGGCCCAACCCAGCAGGTCTAGAGCATCACTGCTCTAGCTACCATTTCTTGACATCAGCCTCACTTCTCCAAACAGTAGTTTGGGGTCTGCAACAGTTTCTCCGGGTCTTCGGCTTCAATTTCTGTTGAGAACCATCTTCTTACATCTGGTTCCCAGGCTTGATACATGTCAAGAACAAGCATCAAGGATAAGTGGGTGACAGAAGGAAGGTGTATTCCTAGGGAGGCTGGGGATGGGGGAAAGCAGGTCAGACTGGGCCTGGTCGCAGAGTCTCAACTAACTTTCTTTCCTGGCAGCCAAACCCTTCCTGTTCTCCCAAGTCATTAGTTGTTAAAACACTCTCATAATCCTGGGGATGAGCGAGTCTTTACATCGCTTTTGTCCTTATCCATTAGCCCATAGTGATATTTTCCCCCATACCATTTCCATGTTTGGAAAGGAACTGAAATTAACCACAGTATTTAACAACTCTGCCGACTTATGGTAAAGCATGCATTCCTTCACAAAGTACGAAGAGACATCAGCACAGCTCTGGGAGTGATGTTAGCTGATTAACTACCAGTGTAAGTTAACAAAGGGAGCACAAACCATTGCCTTGACGGAGGTGCTAAACATTCTTAACTTCTTTTTTAAAAAAAACCCTCACGCATTCTCAAAACTGGAGCTATGTAGAATCTTTCCTAAGTAACTAATACTTTGGAATGGAGTTAAAAAAAAGGGGAGCGCACCTTTCTTAATCTCCTCTTTGAGGGCCATACTGACGATACACTCAAATATCTCCAACACTCATACATTCCTCAAAAGATTTTACCCACATCCTCGTTATGGGCCCCACAATCAAAAGTTTCCAAAGCTATTTTTGCTAAATTAGCCACATTAGCTTTTCCTAAAACACCATATTGGGTCATAGAAGCATTTCATATATTCCATCCATGGGGATCTTTAATTACATGAAGCAGTTATTTTTCTCTTGTTGCAACCATTGGTTCCAACTCATTCTTTATTTTTTGCCCTAAGGCAAGGAAGTCTCTATTAAACTGGAGGCAGTAAAGAGTGCATCTTTTGCTAAGCCAGTATGCACAGACGTCCTTGCAATGGCAGCTATTGCAAGATTGTTTGGTACACAATTATGCACAAGGCTTAACACCTTCAAGTCCAGCTGATATCCCACCAGTAGCTTTTAGGTTTGTATGGTAACTGATCCACAGTACGGAGCGCTTTGGCTCCTAAAATAAAGGGCAGATGTGTTGTATTTTACAGTAAATATTTTACTACCATGCCAAATGGAATGTCTGATAGATGTAAACAGAATTTGTTTTTTTAAGATTTTATTTGTCTAACATGCTTGACAAAATAATTACAACATCAAGTTATGCCAAAATGATTAAATAACCTTTAAGCTTTCATACCGCAAGTCTTTTAATGATAACTTTTAAAGTAACAGCTGCTTTCAAATAATTTTTTCACATAAAATACACAGTATTTTGAAGATACCTTAGGAAAAATTTGTTTTTAAGAGCATATTTTCTGAATGTTGAATAGAATTCTGAATAGAAATGTTGTTGCAGCTAATAAAAGCTCCCCCCCCTTAACATTCTAGTAACAAGTGCTGAGAGTGAATGTAAACATTTCAGACTTCTTTAACATACAGCCAGTTTCCTGCCACCCTTGTTTCATAAAACACTTGAATTGTGACTGGTTAAGACACTTGTAGTCTAACGACACAGTATCATTTTTCTTCCCAATGATGGTGGAAATCAGTAATAGGTTATTAACTTCCAGCCTCGCTGATGTGGCCTGATCCTACAACCCTTCCACAAATAGTGCTTGCAAAAACAGTCCCATGTAAATCTACTGCAGCCCGCTCGTGTGTACATAAACCATTCACATAAGACCGGGTTACAGGGTGGGGCCCACTGTTTGCTTTTTAGTTTCAGCAAAGAGCAGCAAACCATTTTAGGTCCTAATTCACCAAACAGCTTACAAGAAATGAGAGATTTGTGGCATGTCATGTTTTTGGATATACCAGTTTGGATGAAGTTACTAGGCTCAAACTTAATGCTTCCCAGCACCAGGTGGGGGAAGAGTTTTTGCACATCTGAAGCATTGGAAATGAACCTAGTGTCCCTCCCAGATTTGATTTTGAGGCGCAAGCTTTCAGAAATAGCGGCCCTAGTTGTGCATGCAAATATAGCACATAGAGCTGCTACATCCAAAGCTCACATTTATGTCTTCATATTGAGCAAGTGTGTGTGCAAAAGGGCACTAACATGCACAATTACATAATCTGTGTGTGAAAATGTGGGCTCTGCAAATGCACTGGGTACATGCATGTTTTTTTTCCCTCTAGCATCAGTGTCTGAATGTCTCACCCATGAGCTTTACCTAATGTGTGTGAAGGTTATTTAACACATAGATCCTGTTAGTACCACAATTCTGAAAATCCATATCCAAAGTATCATACCTAGATAATGGCAGTTAAGGCAAGAGGTCTCCTTTTGCTTTCTTGGAAGTTGGAGAAATTGGGTTAGGGCAGGACAGAGGCCCCTTTTCCTTTAGGACATATTTTGGAGGTTAAAATACTTCATGGTTTGCTTTTTAAAGTGAATTTTCAGGCTAGTGTAAAGTGCTGGAATGAAAACTCTGCCGACTCAACTCCTCTGTGAATCCATGGATGCGGAGCATGAGCAGTGCTAGTTCTCACATCTGGATAGGCTGTATATAGGGGGTTAGAAAAGATTTCAGTCTCCTGGGCTCATTTAGTCCTTGGTCTCTACTACCACTGTCCACAAGGGGGCAAATAGCCATGATGGGGCTTGTGATGTGGACACCTGTGCTAGACGAACTGCAGTGAGCTCGTCACTCATTTCACCTGTGCTGCTGAACAACTATTAGAAGGTAAAGGGCCAAGGAGTAATGGTCTCAAGTTGCAGTGGGGGAGGTTGGATATTAGGAAAAACTTTTTCACTAGAAGGGGGGTGAAGCACTGGAATGCGTTACCTAGGGAGGTGGTGGAATCTCCTTCCTTAGAAGTTTTTAAGGTCAGGCTTGACAAAGCCCTGGCTGGGATGATTTAGTTGGGGATCGGTCCTGCTTTGAGCAGGGGGTTGGACTAGATGACCTCCTGAGGTCCCTTCCAACCCTGATATTCTATAAAACTCATCCTTGGGGTAACTCCATCAAAGTCAGGGGCATTAACCCAGGGATGAATTAGCTCAGACTGTTAATCATTCCCAATCTGGGCCAGATTCAAAGCAGTGGCCTTATGATATGCTGTCCATCCCTTTATCAGTTCTTTAAACCGAACAGTCCCGCTAGGCTACCTTTTAAAACCACATCTGAACATCACAGGTTTCCTATTTTACTTTAAATCCAATCACACATCAGCTCTCATGTTAAACCACATGGATCTTTTTAAAGAAAAAATGGGAAATGACATTTTTCAGAGCTTACAAATGCCTGAGTTTGTACTGCCTTTAACACCATCTCCTTTCTAGAACGTTCAGCTGTTTCCCACACACTGGCAGTATGCACCATTTCCCCTTCCATCTGTAATGCCAGATGTGTTGCGATTGCATTACAGAACAGTGATTAGGACCTTCACCTGCATTGCCTTTGAAAGCATGCAAGGGCACAGACTTCAGAAGGATTTGCAACAACAACTGGCTTCTTTTAACTGGTTCAACACAGTACTTGTGTAGACTCTTTTCATATTTGCCATATTATTCAGCAAAAATATCAACATCATTTGATTTTTACCAAATACTCATTGGAAAATGTTTTAAATGGTTAAATCCTAGTCTAAACATTCACGTTTAAACTGTAAACATTCTTTAAGAAACACGCCTTTGAAAAGACTTTATACTTTTAATAAGTTCAATATATGGTTGATAAAAAAAACCCCCAACTCCCTACTCGATATATATGTGGAATGCATTCACTTTTGTGTATTCACAAGTATTTTAATGTTGAAATTTTAAATTTAATGCTTAATCAGCTTCCGGCAGATATTGGCACTAAAATGTCTTTCTTCCCATTCATTTTCATCACTCAAATTTGGTTGTGAAGAATTAAAAGAAAAAAAATAAAGGGTCTTCGCTTCTTCATTGAACAGTTCTTTATCATGTTTCTTAGTCAGCAATAGAAAACTGCTTGTGTGATAGGTACATCATTAAATTCCTATAACAATCATGTGTTCCTTGGAGTAGGTAAGTCAATAACTATAGGTGGATTGAGAGGCTGGTAATTCACAGTGCACACTGATGCATTCACATAGGTAGTAGTTCCATCAGCCATTACCCCATAGCCTACAAAGAAAACAAGTTCTAGTTACTACTATTATTCACTTATATAGTGCCACAAATGGAAGTGGTACTGAATAGTGCTACATCCATACTCTCAAGGATTTAACAGGGCCATATTCTGCTCTCTGTCATACTAGTGAAGCTTCCATGAGAGTAGTAATAATACTTGTGTAACAGAAGAATTTGAGCACCCTTTTAGATTGTAAAAGAAAGCCAAAGAGGACTCTCCAGAGTGTACACGTAGCGTGAGATTATAGCCACTGAAATGTGAGGTCTTCACAAAAAAGTTTAGTAACTTCAATATTTCTCTTTGAAAATCACTTTTAAAAAATATTCTCTCTCCAGTTTTTGAAGAGGGTGGGAGCTAGACTGTATTTCAGGCTTTTACCACACTCAAATCCCTGATTTCTTGGAAATCTCACATTCAGAACGTGTCGAAACCGTCACCTTTTGGGGCTGATATTTCCCAGGCTTGGTTTCTGCTCAAAGATTTATTTTTTTTTTTAGAAATGTTGAGTGAAATCCCTTCAAACATTTTTGGACATATGGAAAAGTGAACATAATTTTTCCATTACAAAAGAATTCTAATCACTTATGAAAAGAAAAAAAAAATCAACTGGGCTTCAGCAAACCCAGCAGAAGCATGAAATCTGCAACTTGGCATGGATATAGAAATACCATGGCTTAGCATGAAAAAACTGGGTTTGATTTAAAGGTCTGAATATCTGAAAACTCTGTGCTCACTAGAAACTGTCTTTAATGGGCGCTATCCTACTGCCAGCGAAGTTAATGGTGACATTCCAAATCGCTTCAGTGGGAACTTGATTGGATCCAATGTGTGTCGGTGTACACTTAAATCTACCAGAGAAGTTCTAGGCATGTTTATGCAGTTACTTACGTGCCTGACTGAGCTCCCATTGAAGTCCATGGCAACACTCCCACGGCATGTCTAGACAGCAGCGGGGAGCGAGCCAGGTACACAGTTGCACTAGTGGGGCTCACGTTAGCGCCCTACACACAGCAGTGTCACCGCTGCAGCTCAGGCAGCGGTGAGTCTGAGCTCGCTTGACGGGTTGAACGTCCACTGCAGCCATATCATCCACACTGCTGTTTTTAGGTGCTAGCTCAAGCCAAGCTAGTGGGAATCTGTCTAGTGGGGCGGGGAGGCTCGGAGGCAGGGAGGCTTCATAGACTTCAGTGGGGATTGAGTCAGACCTATGTACACTCCCTTGGTTCAGGAACGCCATGAAAGAACTGCAGATTCTTTTATTTTCTTTTAAAAGCCCACACACTTAATGCTACGAACTGTGGGTCCAACCAACCGCTCATGGGAAACCTTACAAGAAGAGGACTTTAGCAAGGATGAAAACCGTCAGCTTCCTGTCACAGAGATTTCTCCCAATCATTTGTGGTTTGCCACAGAACAGTCGTCTGTTGTGAAACATGAACCACAGAACATAAATGTGAATTGCACAGTTAACATTGCGAGGGGAAGTTTCAGAATGTTCTCTCTCCCTCTCCATGGTTTTAAAACACCCAATCACCATGGTACCCGGTTGCTAAAATGTTAATGTTTGTGCAAGATTTATAATATTGCACTTTTCATTCCTTCCCACCCTAACATGGAGACTCCTGTATGACCACCCCACCTGAGCCTTGGCAGGAGCATGGGAAGTAGGATTTTAGATGACGTTACTGTAGGGCTGCCTGTCACTGTGACTGGTGGAGCAGCAGCAAGTATGGTGACAGGTGAGGCATTTTTGGCAGTAGCAGCAGTTCAGAGGAGGAAGTGGGGAGGAACAGTCAGTTCTTTATTCCTCCTGGATATTTAGTAGATGACTGCTGTAGATGTAGCTGTGTTTAGTCAGGGGAGATATCATCTGTTCATACCATGCACTCACTTTGCAAAGAGCACATTCGTTTGCAGAGGCTGTCTGTGAGAACTTACTTGGGAATTCTTCTCTGAGGAGTTTTACCATCCCACAGCAAAACAGGCTTTGCAGTTTCCCATTTGTTTTCTCTGAATTATGATAGTTTACAAGAATTCCCTGTCTCTTAACTCTGCTACTTACTGCGACTGCAGTGGTAACTGAAATAATTTATCATTCTGTGAGTCAACGTTTTTTCTTTGATGAGCCAAAAATGCAGACAATGGGGTAAGCAGATGCAACTCTATTTACCTCACAGGAGCTTACAACAGGTCACTTACACCAAGTTTAAACTTACTTGGCCTATAATAAACTAAAGGGATAATATCAATTTTAGAACAGGTTTTGTCTGAAAATTGTTCACACACAGTCTTATAAGTAACCTCTAAGACTGCTGTACCTGAAAGAGGTCTAGAGAGGAGTCATTCAATTTGTTTACTCTGTGCATTTGACAGCACTTTAGAAATCACCTAGTGAGAGCCTTATCGTTGCAAGGAATAGGCGGCAGTGATTGTACCTCCAGGCCATACACCTTGCAAGATATGAGTAAACACCATAAGACGTATTCTTTCCCCTTTTCTTTGATTGTAAATATGATCCCACTACCATTGACTTGAATGGGAGCAAGCCTGATCCCATTTAATGATTTATAAGAAGGGAATTCATTTTCCCAATTGAAAGCCAAATGGTTGACAGAACACCCTAGGTGGTTCTGTGCACTGAACATTTAACCTGGTTAAAAAAAAAAAATCTTACCCCCACAGAGCCAGTGAGAGGGCTCCCTAGTGCTCTGAGACAAACACTCAGACAAACGCTCTGAAGAAACTACAGTGTCTCAGATTGCTGGGGAATCTTGACCTAGCTGATGAGGAGATAATTTGTGCATGTACCATGTATTAGGATGAAGAGTGTGAGGAACCTCTAGAGTTTTATGGAGCCTCATTTTAGCTTTGTATTTATTTAGACCCTTCTAACCCAGGATCTCAGTAATTAAGCCTTAGAAATCCCTACAGATTTTACAGAGAGAGAAAGGGAGATGCCAAGAGGTTACAAGATTTCCCCAAAGTCACAGAGTAATTCAGTAAGGAGCCACAAATAGAACCCAGTAATCCTAACTTGTAGTCACCTAGTAGACCTCTACCCTTGTTTTGAACCAACTGGATCAGTAGCTCATATGTAGCAGTAGTATAATCCCCATTTCACAGATATGGAAACAGATGCTGAGGCTCAAATATTCAAATTTGGATGTTAGACACTTATATGCATTTTATTCACCTAAACAAGTGGCCTGACTTTCAGAAGTGTCCATTAATTTAGGTGCCTATCTTTAGCAACTCAAATTTGAAAATGTTGGCCATACTGTGCAGTGGCTTGGGCGCAGTTGGTTTTAAAAATCAGAGAGAGATAAGCTTGCTGACCTTCATGGATATGTCCGAAAACATGAAGCCTTGGCTGTATCCGTCTCTGGACTGTGTTCAGCAGCTCAACACACCCTACCCTCTGCATTTTCTTAGGAACCCAGTCTAGAAAACCTTGGAAGAAGAAGAAGAAGAAGAAAGATTTATAAACATAGATTTAAAAGAAGAGAGAAAGGACTCACATTATCTGTGAAACTTTATACCTGGAGTACGCAAAATCATTCCTGGATTTTAATGTGTCTTAGTTTCTTAGATTTTAATATGCCACAGAATAATCTATTAAAATGAACATCTTCATTGCTCAGTGGAGGGGGAATGAAAAATATTTGAGGAATGAAAAAATAGTTGATCCAAAGGGATGGGATTAGAGTTATTCTTGCCAATATTTCTTTTTTAAAGAAAAGATCCTTGCAAGAGATTTAAATTAAAACTAATTAAACCATATTTGTTCTATTTAAGGCAAACACTCCATCCCTGCTACAGTTTAAGAAGCTTAGAGAAGAATGTTCAAAACTAAGTGCCTAAAGCTAGGCCTCTAAACCCACATTTAGGCTTTTCAATCGAGATTCAGGTTCTAACTTTAAGCACTGAATATTTTGATATTAACTTATGTCATGACTTTGGTGTTGCTAATTATTAATCCAAAACATACTGGCGTTGAGGATTAGATATTTCCATGTTCATACATTAAAATGATTGCCTACTACAGCTGCTTGTAAAAATATTTTTCTTTCCTCCTAGAAAATGTTGACTTTTTAATAAAAAGAAAAAACAAAAATGGTATTGTTTTCAATTTTTTGGTTTTGGTTTTGCCTGTATGAAAAAAATCAAAATTTTTCGAGGAAAGCAGGCACTTTGTTAAGGTTACATTTAGTTGAAAACCCAACTTTACATGAAAAAAAAAAAGTTTTGTGTTTTTTTTTTTTTTTACCAGTCCTATCAGCTACTTCATAAAGCAGAAATAACAGCAAATCCGAACAGAGAGCACTGAAAATACTCTTTTATTAATGGCACCAAAGTGTTAAAATGATACTAAAAACTGTACCCACATCTGCACCACCAGGTGATTGATCTAACTCCCAGTTAAGTCATTGGGACTTTCCATTGACCTGATGGGACAAGGATCTGGCTCCAGATGATGGTCTTAGTTGGGCTGGAGGCTGGAAATTTGACTAAAATTATCTTCTTTTTAAATATCCAGGACTATGGCAGCTTTGAACATGGGCCCATGTTAGGTAGGGGAACGAGCAGAGACCACACTGCAGCAGGAATCCCTGGAGGCATTGTGGCTGACCCAGTCTGAATTCCTGAAGAGCCTGTGGAGCACATGCTAGGGCAGAAACTCCAGCATTCAGCAGCTGATCTCTACTGGCCAACACAAAAGGATAGTGGGGCCATAATCCAGCCCTTGCCTTGTTGCTTTTGGAAAGTCTCATGCAACTGCCAGGATCACTGTACCTCCTCCCAAAGTCTCTGCAGGCCCCTTTGCAGAGGCATGCATGTGTGACTGTTGCATGGGATGCAGGGTTTTTGTTAAAGTTTTTTTACAATGAAAACCTAAATGCCCAGTCTGGACATCAAATTGTATTTATAAACGAACATAATCTCAGAAAGGATGCTAATTGTTCACTAAATCATGGCATTTCCCTTCAAAGCGACTAGTGTAACCTAACCAGGATGTGACATTTGAAGTGTGACTGTTTGCAAGTGAACACATCATCTCCCGTATATCTGTGTGAAAGATGGAAGAGCAAAGAGTCCAGAGCTGTGCAGGGAAACACTATTCTGCAGTGCATATTGGAATAATTTAGTTAATTTCTGTTGGTTTGGAATGATCTAATTGTTTTGTGCTGCCACATCTCTGCCACTATCATAAGATGTTGCCACTCCAATTTGGGAGACCTAAAACATATACAATTTTGTACTATTCTTTAGATTTATTTATCCTTCTGTTTGCACGTACATTTGAAGGATGTTGTGATATATTGCATATATACAGGGCTGAGAGGATAGGAATTTACACGCACCGGACTCAGTTTTCAAATTATGGTACCGAGGGCCTGATCCAACATGGCTAACAAGGAGTTAAGCCATTTACTTCAATGAGACCAGAAATGGAGCACTTGGTTGGAAGAGTGCACTGCATGCAAAATGGATATATACCAACCTAAGGGCAAACTTGGACAACCCACATGTTTGCATTTCGGTGCCTTTTTTTAAAAATTGGTCTCAGTATATTTTAGGGTTTTGTGACTAAGGGTAACATTTTCTAAAATGCGTAAATGACTTAGGTTCAAAAGTCCCATTTTTAGAGTGACTAAGGCACTAAGAAGTCTGTCTCCTTGAAAGTCAATAGAATCTATGCTTTTAAGTGCCTAAGTCCTGTTTGAGAGAGGGTACTTTTGAAAATGTTATCCCAGGTCTTTGGTGTATAGATCTTTACAGAAAATCCAGTTGCATGCAGCTTAATTACAGACACAGATGATCCTCATTAAACTCTGATATTTGACTCTGCTAGTCACTTTTGTCCTCTATGGCTGTTTAAAATTTATTCCAGGAAACAACAGCAGTTCCTTAACACGTCAAAGTGAGTTCAGAAATTGTATCTTTCAGAATCCAGTTCAATCTCTTTTTCATACCAAACAGATTATAACCCAGGCTTTTGTTATTTCAATGATTTGAAACAGTTAATTGTCAAAACGTCTGTGGTGAACATGAAGGCAAAGGTATTTCCACTTCAAAAACTTTACAAAACAAAAATTCATGAAATTAACTTCTCCATTAAATTAAGCATTATTTATGTTGAACATGTTTTTGTTTACATGCATTATCGCCCTTCTGAATCCTTCCCATATGTTTGCTGCTTATTATATACACCTGACTACACAAACTAAGAATAATTGATTACACCTAGCTAACAATTAGAGTTCATCTTAGGGATTTTTTTATGTTTGGTTATTTGAAACAGGTTTCTGCAACTGTCAGGAAAGTATAAATCTTTGTCACAGACAATCATGCAGACAGCTACAGATAAAGACTTAACGAAATCCACTTAAAAAAAAAGAAAAAGAAAGAAACGAAGAAAAGGAAAGAATTCTTGATAAGAAGCCAAAGAATCCTGAACTTAGTTCTTTACATGCTTGGAAACTGACTTTTTAAAAAATGAAATTAATACCTATTCAAAAGAAACTTATTTTTGCTATAGTATATTTACTGTATTTCCAATATGACCTAATCAAAGGTAAGAGTCTCTCACACTGCTATGTATTGTGACACAGGAATATTTGGTATATCCTCATTAACATGGCTGAGTACGACTGCAGATAAATGTAAACTCTTGGGGAACTGTCTTCTCATTATTTGTGTACAGTGCCTGGCACAAGGGGGAGCACAATTCCTGATTGTGGCATCTAGGCACTTCTACGCTACAAATAATGAAGAATAATGACTCTGAGTAGGATTTTCAGAAGTGCCTAAGTGACATAGAAGCACCAATTCTGTTCAAAGTCAATGGGACTTGTGCTCCTGAATCACTTTGGCACGTTTAAAATCCCACCAATTTATCTCTGTAGTTCTGTAACATAAGTTGATCAGGAGGGTATTTGTTCTGCTGCAGGGAGGGGATGAATAGGGAGAAGAGAAAAGTAGATGGTGGGCAGAATTAAGACCTACAGGTAAGAGAAAAAGAAGAGGGGAGAAGAAAGAAGGACATGATTTCATGAGGCACCAGCTCAAAAGAGGGATATAATCAGTAACAAGACTCAACCTGAGAGGCCTCATGGCAGCACACTCTCCTGGACCACATACAGAAGAGGGTAGTTGTCCTCTGAGTCATTAAACAGACAGACACCACCTATTACGGGAGTCTCTAAACCTAACATAACGTGAGAATCACTGCTGGCACTGCAGACATGGCAATAGCAGCTCTTGCTGGGTCACTTGTCGATACCCCATGCAAACCTGACAGTGATCTAACAGAAGCTGTAAATTAAAGGGAAATACATTTAAAACCAGTAAAAGGAAATGCTCCTTTTTGCAGCATTCTAGTCATAGTGTCACAGGAAGTCATCTAAATTTTGTGGCTGAATTTGCAAGAGCATTGGATGCTTTTATGATCATGAATAACATTTGTAGTTATGCAGTCTAAGACCAGGATAACAGTAATGAACTTCCAGGTTAAAATAATTGCCTGTGAAGGTCAGAAAGGAATTCTGTTTCTAACCCACCCATGCACAGCCTAATAAAAAGCTAGGTGCAATATGCTGAGAAGGTTGTCACTTTCCTTTGGAGTGCCACCGAGAGGCTGCTGCAGAAAAGTAAATAACATGTTAGGCAGAGCAATATTTTGATCCGATTCACAAAAGGGTTGCAGACCATTCAGCGCGGAACATGAGCTGTCCATAGATACATTAATATAGACAAGACACCAGGAAAATAAAGCAAAGTAATATGCAACATTTCTAAGAAAAGCCATGGACGATGGTTGAAGATAAAAAACAAAATAGGATAAATACTCAGACTAGTTGATAAGTGAATTACAAACACTGGATATGTGGACATTCTTTGGAATTGACAAAGGACAGGTTTTTTTCATGACTAATCAGATGGAAGTTTGGGGATTTAAGAATAAAAGTCAAAGTATTTCAAATGTTTTCAATTGTTTTATCTGGACTTATAAACGGGTCCACCAAAAATCCAACACTAACCATTAGGCCACCAATCCATTTGGGATTTTGAATTATCTCCTCTGCTAAATGTTTAGGACTAAGAGCTCCAGCCCTGCAAGCACTGAGGGATGAATGGCTGTTACCAATTTTTAAGATCCAAGTCCATATACAGAATAAATCTGATGGCCGGAAGTGGGTTATGCAATTGATTAAACACACATTCTTATAGGGAGAACAAAGATTTACAAAGAAGAAACCCCTTTCCCCAAAGCTTCAGTGAAACACTTAAAGCAAAATCATTTTGTTCCTGTGAAAACCAAAACACTTTACATACTCTAAATGAAAATTTTGAAAGAGAAGGGGAAAGAGTGGTAGGAGGGAAGATTTTAGCACTTAGTGAAATTGTGGACTGAAAGGAATTCTAAGTAAGTTTAAAAGTCCAATTCAGCAGAGCACTTAAGCATGAATTTTACTTTATCATGATTAAATGATTAAATTAATAAGTTTTGAGCATGTGTTTACAGTTAAGCATGTGTTTAAATGCTTTTCTGAATCAGGGCCAAAAAGATTTCTGTTAATATTTTATTTCCATAATCAAGGTCAGATAACTATTATCAGGAAACATAATAAGCCCTCTACTTCTATAAAGATATATTTTATCTCACATTAATATTTGTAAGATGAAAATGTAAAAATGGTTCTTGTTGGCCTACACATGTCTGCAGAGAAGAAAGCAGAGGTGGCAACTCATGATGAAAGAATGGAGAAATCAATGCTGGATATTGGATGGAGGGGAATGCTACCCTAAAAAGGTGGTGGGGAAACAATATGTAAAAACTTAGGGCCTGATCCTCCATTCCTTGTCCAATCAACTCTCCTCAGTTATTTCAATGGAAGCTTTGAGTGGGCAAGGAACGCAGGATCAGACCTCCAAATTGTGTAAGTATATTAGGCCTGATTCATCACTGTGTCACTCCAGTTTTGACACTGGTGTAGCTCTATTGATTTCAGTGGAGTTACATTGGCATGAAACTGGAATGCTAGATGCCTCAGTGAATCAGGGCCATTGTTTCTTTATAGTGTATATTAAGGCAAAATATTTCACATCCCTCGCTGAGTTTAGGTAATAGCGATTAGAAACCCTGTGATGAAATCCTGGCTCCAATTCAATCCAAAGGAGCTTTGCTTTTGAGTTCCCTGGGGCCAGGATTTCACCCCGTGTCTGAAAACAGCACACAGTTACTATATCATTATTTGAAATATGTAACTCAAAGTGTTAATGTTTTCTTACCAAGAGGTGGTCCATGTGTTATAAGAATATCTATTCCATCTGGAATAAGGTTCCATTTCTCTAATAGTGCTTGGCCTCGTGGAAGATTAAAGCCCCAGCCATAAAACCAAGGTTGCCTGCCAAAAGAGGAGGAGAATGTCTTCAATGCTACTCATATGCACTGGTCATCTAATTAAAAAATGGAGACGGATTCTCTTCTGTTAAGGAATCTGGGGACAAAAACAAATAGCATTACTTTCCTTCCCCCTACGTACAATGACACCATATCTGCATACAACCATCATTATTCAATATGTGTGGGAAATCAACAAGCTTATCAGTTTAAATAGACAATATCTTGTAAAATATTTATTGCATTCTTCTAATCAGATTGAGAGGCAACTGTAGAAGCTGAAGTACCCTACATAGTACTATACCTGGAGTTCCACTCTATCTATTGGACCACCACTCTGGGGTGTGTGTGTATTATATTATAGCATGGCCTTCTTCCCACTTTGGTCCTGATCTTACAATTGAATAGGTCTAGGCAGAACCCTTCATACATACAGTTCCAATTACAGGGTTGTGGCTATAATCTGTATTATGTTTGGTTAACTTTGGAAGCCTCACACCAGAACAAACATGTTTATTAAATTCTTATATACTGCACATTTTCCCTCGTCATCCACCACATTAATGGTTTATAAAATTTTACATATTCAAGATTTAGTAGCCGATGAGAATTTATTGTAGGGGTTTTTTTTTTAAAAACATATTATTTATGGAACAGCTCATTAGTAAGTGGTGGGATTATAACAGAGGCAGCCAGAAAATAATTCATTTGTGCATGCAATCCCATTGATTAAAAAGCTATACTTCATAGTAATATCACCGTGGCAAATTATGACTTGCTGGTGATGCTACAAGTCATGAAATGTGGGACTAGTTTTGGGTTGGTTTTTATTTATTTATTTATTTTTAATTGACTGACTGGTCTTCTGGCCATATCCGGAGAACAACAAATGGGCTTCAGAGGAACAGCCGTGTTAGTCTGTATTCGCAAAAAGAAAAGGAGTACTTGTGGCACCTTAGAGACTAACCAATTTATTTGAGCATGAGCTTTCGTGAGCTACAGCTCACCACGAAAGCTCATGCTCAAATAAATTGGTTAGTCTCTAAGGTGCCACAAGTACTCCTTTTCTTTTAACAAATGGGCTGTGATTGAATAAGGTTTATGATAATTGCAGCCTTAGTGTTTATAAATATGTACACATCAACCAGAGTTTTCCTTCAGATCTTACTTTGCTGAAGAAAGCTTTCCACTCCCTCACTGCATCAAAATGAAAAAGCAAGATTTCATTTAAACAAATTCTCTGAACTACTCTTTGCATCATGTATGGCAAAGACAAAAGAGAATGCTCATGAAGCTATTATTCTTCCTCTTCCGTTACTGATGCTTGACTACCACTTCAGAAATTAACACATTGTCTGCAATCTTCATGATCATATATTTTTCACATCTTCTTTCGGAATGCTGTTAGACGTGTATGCTGAAAACAACTGAAAAAAAAAATGCTAAGAGAAATAAAGGGACACAGGCTATCCTAGAAGAGGAAGCAAACTGTAGTAGAAGAGCCCTCTAACAAGCAGAGCTTCTGAGGGAAGTTCCCCCTCCTTCCCACAGGTCAGAGGCCCAATTTCTCTAGAGCCAAAGTGTTGGGGCTCTGCAGTATTGATTGAGGGAGGTGTCAAGCTAAGACTCCATATCCTGGATCTGCACGGCCTGTTCTCCTGGCTAACTGTTAGGCTTCTGTGTGAAAACCTAACTGGAAGTTACTACTGTTGCAGCTGTGACCACCACTATCTCTCTCTTGGATCACTCCAATCCCTGTGGTGGGAGACAGAGGATGAGTGCACGAAAGAAAACTAATGGCAGCAAGGTAGCAGGAGACACGCTGACAAGGGTAAGGGTTGGCTGGGCTGCTCTACGTACCGAAGGGAGAATCAGGCATAGAACAGTGAGTTTCGGATCAGAGTTTTCTGATGAGCTTTTACCTTTCAGCAGCTTTTTCCTTATGGGGTGTTGTCCCCCCAGGAAGAGTAGCATGTCACTCTAAGGTACATGGCTCCTGACCCCCCATTTCTGGGATGGTAACTCTGCATCTATTCAGTGGCCTATTGCAGAATAAGCTAGCAGTGATCTCTGCAGCCTTATTTACAGGTAAAGATCAATTTGGCTGTCTTATGTTAAGTCACTCTCTCCCTTGCCTTGCATGCTGGAGCTGTTCTTCTGTGACTAGGAAATGTTAGAACTTGTGTGATTTGCCATTATGCTATCTTTTATGACAATCCCAGGAATGACAGAAATGCCTGAAATATTTCTGGACAAAATATGAAAGGATTCAGTGCATAATGTTAGTATTCTTTACATTAAATACATTCATACACTTCAATGCTGAAACCACACAAAAGTAAAATAATTTTTATGTGCAGAGGGATTTTATAAATCCTCACGTCCCTTCTTGTGAAATGTTATTACAAAACAGCCATCAAAGTTTCTGTGCAGAAAAAAAACCAAACACTACCCATATACACACCAACAACTTTCTGACCTGGAAATCATGTAAAGACAACTTTGTTTAATATTTCCATCCATCATAGAATGTGGAAGCAAAGTTATAGAGTTAAGATCTGATGCTTTTTTGGATCGCTTTTCTTAGTGTTTACTCAGTGAAAGTATAACTTCTTTATAAAATAGTTCACATGACTATCTATTTTACATTAATATACTTAAGGAGGAAAATCTGCTGGTTCTAGAAAAGAAAGGTGCAAAAAATGTATCTGGCAATTAAACACCTATACCATTAATGTACTTCATGTTAGGAACCAAGTACCCATGATTAACAGTGTACTTTGATTTAGGTTTTGCCTTCCTATAGCAAACAGCATATGTCTCTCAATATCTTATTGAAATTCAGTGCTTTTATTATTATGACAGAAAAATGACTGACTACATATAAGGCTGTAGGGAGAAAAGTATATTGCAAGTGAATATGTTTACTGCACAATTAAGCTTATGTTAAAAACACATGAACAAGTTTTACAGGTCAACTCATCTTACGTACAAAAATGTCTGGATTCTCAAAATTTGTGCTAGCAATCGGATGTTGCTTTCTGTACTGAATTTCTGTGTCTGTTCTAAAGAAACCATTGGAATAATTTTCTTACAGAATGATGGTTGCTATGACAACCATAGCAAATTTTCCTTTTCTGAAACAGATGTCTCATTTAGTTGAAAATTAGAATGTGAAAAACCCATGGGAAAAATTAATTCAAACTTTAACAGAACACTGACTACAATGTAATCTCTTATAGGTTAACCCCTTAACATCTTTCTGCACTCCTATAGTAACCTTCAAATAAACTCTAATTAAATCATTTTAGCCTCCTATAAATGATCTTTTTAGCTATCATTGGCACTTTAGTTTTCTTTGAAGTGTGCATTTCTGTTACCATAATAGCAGAGAAAAGTGGCATTAAAAAAGTGGTCAAACACATTACTCCCTTAACTATTTATCACTGTTTGTTCTTTTACTCAACCACCATTGGAAAGAGGAACAGTGCAGTTTGAGTGTTCTATTCTGTTCTTCTGTCACTTAAATGGGGCATAACTTAGTTTTACATGTAATTTACTGTACAGGGCTGTGATGCATTACATAGATCTGACTTGTAATTTAAGTGAGAATTGAGGGTTTGTGTTCTTATAATGGTATACATCTCAAATTGCTTAGCAGACGTATTAATGGGTAGGGGATACACTAAGAGGGTACCGGAGTGGGCAAACCAAGCAATATATATGTATTCTCCCACCAGAAGAAGTGAGAGACTGAAATGTGTTTCTTTGTGGCTTTCATTTAACTGCTTAACTAGACGGACCCATTACTACCTTCATCTACACTTACTAGCTAAACATAAAAACCACAATCACTGCAGGTCAGTTACACGTGAACATCTCCAGAATTAGTAGGCAATTAAAAAAACATTCCAATTTATCGCATGACCCCATAACTCCTGACAGGCTGGTACATTTTAAGAACTTGGGGACTGCAAATTTTACTGCAGTAGCTTAATCAAGAATGTGCAGTCAATTAAGCCCAAATCTGTGGCTGTTAAGTTACACCACTGGTCTCAATGACTTCAATGGGACTACTCACACGGGTAAGGGTTTTAGGATCAGACCCAGTGTCTACAAAGATGTATGGGTGACTGTAGTAGGGTGGCTACCCCACTCCTAAAATAGAAGGGGTTAAAAGCAGCCCTGGAGAGGGCTGTGGCTGGGGATGGCTGATTGGGGAAGCAGCCGCAGCTGGGCCATGCCCCAATCAGGCCCCAGCTGCCCTGTACAAAAAGGCTGTGAGCCAGAGGCCCAAGTAGTTTCTCTCCAGGCTGGGAGAGAGCAGGGCCAGCCAGCCAGCCAGGGTACTGAGGTTGGTGCAGTGCTGGGGAAGGAGCAGGCTGAGCGGGGACGCTTCAGGCTGGCAGCTCCCCAGGCTGTAGGGCCTGGTCCAAGGCCCATAGAGGGACTGGGAGACAGAGGAAGGCAGCAGGTCTGAACCCCCTTGCCTAGGATGAGTGGCCTTTACACTGCTGTCTGCCCCAGCGAGTGGGGGCTTGGTGATGACTGGCAGTAGCCCAGACTGAGGCAAGGTGGGGATAGTGGGTTGGGGATTCCCCAGGAAGGGGAGACCCAGAGGCAGAGTGTGGGGTACTGCCCAGAGAAAGGGGCACCGGGGTCTGTGAGGGACATGGGGGCCAGAGCTGTGTGGATCAGCGGCCTGCAGAGGGCGCTCCAGGCTGGAAAAGAGCTAATTCTCAATGACCAGCAGGTGCCGCCGCAGGGGTGAGTCCTGCACCCTCACAGTGACACTTGTGCTTTCTACCGTTGCAAAATACTATTCATCAATGAGTAGTGTCTTGAGTACACCGCACAAGCAACAACAAAATGTGCTAAAATTTCTGCTATGATGATCTCTCTTCTTGACTGACAGGCATTTCTGTGTCCCATTCAAGCAAGAGATTGTTCTAGTTTTCTCTTTGCTTATGATAGATATTTAAAAGGATCACAGTGAAGTGTTAC